GTTAGAGTAGAAAACTGTGTGTCGTGAATTACATAAAAATTAAAAGTTGCACTGTCTTTTGTTGTTTTAAAAGTTGAATTTTATTTATACGATATTGAAAATTTACATTTTATTATTAAAAAGTTATTTCGTAAATAGTAAACAATTGTATAATATAGCGCTAGTATGTACAATTAATGTATGAATATGTAACGAATAGTACAATATAACATTTTTGAGTTGTCTGAGTTCTTAATAACCAAACTCTGGAGGGTGATCTTGGCATAATTTCCTGAAAAAAAGTTCCATTGATGCACGAGTGATTCCGAAAAGAAAAGATGTTAAGACAAGTTTTTTTTTTTTTTTTTTTTTTTTTTTTTTTTTTTTTTTTTTTGTGGTGCTCACGGTTTTTATTAAATAAGAAGGAATTGTTCGAAACCGTACAAGATAATTAAATTTTAAGTAGACTATCATAAAGTAGACAGTTGTTTTTTTTGAGAAAACAATGATTAAATTTAGTAAGATCGATGATAAAAGGGACTTACAGCAAAATATATAATTCGGCTGCTGTACTGTTGCAGTTACTGTATATCCGATACACATACCCGAGCAGCATATCTCTGTAATCCAGATTCGTGACATAATTTGGCTTAGTGGCAGGCTTTGCGTTATTAGACCTCCTTAAATTCCATTTTATCATTGACCTTAGTAAATGTATTCAATTTTTTCTCAAAGGAAATTCTGTCTACGGTGGTGTACTTAGAAGTTAATTATCTTGAACAGTTTTTGATCAATTTCTTCTTATTGAATAAAAACCGTGAGTTAGCTTAAAGCAACAACAGCAACTAATTGGTCTTGACTCATTTTCCATTCGAAATGAGCCCTTTCATTAAAATAATTTATTTATTTGAAATTTTACTTTCAACTGACCTGATGGTGTGTTGGAATTTATAATGGCGCTCCTAGTCTAAGAAGAGGCAATCATGGTAGACTTTAATAATAATAATCATAATAATATATAATAACTATTACGAAACTATTTTTTAATAAACATATCATAAATATTCTATATATTTGCATGCTATAATTTACAACATTGCAACTCATCTGTAGCTGATTTCATATAATAAAGACAAGACAAATGCAATCAGTTGGTTCTCTATCTTATGTAATGATTTTTTTTTTCAACTGATAAAATTATCTACATTTTTGTGTAAAAACTTAAAATATTATAACTTTTTAGCTCTCTTTCCCCAACAGTGTATACAATGATAGATAAACTTAAATAAGAACTCAGCAGATAAGACTCCAAGTTACTCCAAGAGATCCATCACTTGTGATTTGGATTTATACCTGAAACTTTTCGCATCTAACTCAGAAGATAGAGCACTTCTTCATTTAACGAGGGATCGTAAATGTTTTTAAAGCCATCTCAATATTAATGCAGTTAAGAATAGTTCTTAAATTTGTGGGTTTCAACGTAAAGGGGATAACGTCACGAATTACATTAAACCAAGTTGTTAATATTTCAAAGATTATATTACTTAAGTAAGTTGAACGTACCATTCATGGACATGGAGCTCAGTGATAGACAGTTTAGACTTTGAATGTAAATAATAAGATTCCTTGTTGATTTAAAGTTTCAAGTTTTTCCAGCTTGAAGAACAATGCTCTCTATTGACATTGTATTAACGAAGTTCCCAACAAAAGAAAATTTTAAAATTCCTAACAAACGACTCCAATTACTTTACTCTCTTTTTGCCAAATCTTCAAAACTAAAACTAAAACAGAAACTGAATACATATACATAATTACTTAAGCCCATATGGACATAATCATCACAAATATACGGCATCGCCTACAAAAACTTCAAACGTTCCAATCAAAATTATTGCGACTCATAACAAAAGCACCTTGGTACGTGACTAACAAAACTCTACACACTGACCTCCACTTTCCAACAGTTGACCAACATATAACGACCCTATATCAACGATTTTACACAAATTTGAATGGACATAATAACAGACTTATAAGATACATGGCCACAGCTGACATACCTCAGAACACGAGGAGGAGACTAAAAAGCGTTGGATGAGGGATCTCCTTCCTTAGACAACCTAAATAATTGGAACAAGTTAAGGAAGAGGTACTGCTGAGTACTTTCTTTCCCCATGCCTGTCATGTCATTATATCATTATCGCCATCACATTTGCTGATTGTCAACTTATTGTTGACAGGTGCAAATACATATTTTATAAATAAAAAAAACAAAAAAACATTCCTATCATCGTTATTTCTGTAGTGTTCTTGAGACCAATGTGTTTCATACCTTCGTACTAACAGTTTTGCTGAGAGTAAATTAAACATTTTAAGTTATCTTTATCCTTATCTTTGTAATACAATAAAAATTTAGAATTTTTTGAGCTATTTCTATTACTGGTACCGACCTTCTGTCCATTAATAGAACATTTGAATTTTGGGGTGTCCATCACTAGTGCAAAAAGGTATTTTTTTAAAAATGGAGATTATACCTGCATGACTGAATATTTTTTCAATTTTAAAATACTAAATAGAAAAAGGATATATATAGTTTTCTTTTGTATATAAATTATATTTTGTTTTTCTTGTACTTTTAATGATTGTAATCTAGTTTTTCATTTATATGTTATGTAGGTTTTTTATGAGGTTTTCTACTGTAAAAATGGATTTCAATTTTCTAAATAGCATTCAAACCACTAGTATGTAATGTGTGAGGTTACTAACACCACAAACATGTAATTTATCATTATGACATGATGTAATGTATGTAAAAAAATAAATAAATAAGTACTTAAACCTCTTTCTTTGTGCTTGAATTTATTTTGGCGTAAAATCAACGAAGAATGCTTGCCACCGATGACGCATTCACGGAGTTATAAGGGTTCTCTATTACTTGTTATAGAAAACCGTGAAATGATAAAGACGTGATGAATTGTATAATAAAATCAATGGATAAATAGCCTAAAAAATATATATATCATATTAACGATAAATTTTTCCTGAGAAAATCTTACTAAAACAATTTTCATACATCTTTTATGTACTTTTTCTATGTAAAAGAGGTCCAGTATTATTCACAGTCAATTGCTAACAATTAACAATAAATTATACATTATAAACGATTTCTGGGACATAACGACCTCATTAAAATGTATATCTTAACTATTTATTCTTAAAAGTATCACTTCTTAGTCATTCATCTTTTCAATGTATAATACACTATTGGTGAAAACATATTAAAATATATAGGAGTAACTATTTTTTTTTTATTTATTTATTTAATTACAAGGGGTCATGTACAACAGCAAAGGTTAGAGGCACCGTGTTGCTGTAACATGATTTAAATAATTTTATACAGTTTATTATTCTTCAAAAATGTCAGCATGTTTTTCTGGTTTTCCTGTTCCAAAGCTTGACGGTAGCTGCGGAATCTTGTTGTGCGCAAATCTCCTTTGCAAAAAACGCTGACAAATTTCAAATAATAAAACAAAACTAGTACTTAAAAAAATTATAAAATAAATAAGCCTTAAAGAATATGATAAAGTTAACAGTTATTTTAATTAATTACCGTAAGTATATATATATATATATATATATATATATATATATATATATATATATATATATATATATATATATATATATATATAAGATATGTAGAAGAATATATATATATATATATATATATATATATATATATATATATATATATATATAACTGTAATTACATTTTATTAAAACCTTCTTAACTAAAATTGTAATACATTAATTTAACATATTTATTTTAAAAAGTATATTACATTAAATTAAAATTGATTTCTAAAAAAAAAAATGTATAATAATAATAAAAATTTAAGGAAAAAAGAAACTGTTCTTACTTATCGGTTAGTTTAGTCGAATCGAGGCTCCATAAATCGAAATGCATTTTTTTGTCTTTACAGGAACACCTCAGTTGAGCCAAATTTCCAGCGCTGTCCTCAAAAGCAAGTCGGGTGTTGTCTCCTTTCGGGTGTTGTATCTGTTCCTCTCGCTCGATCCGAAATTATAAGTTGAGTAGAAATAAAATCCGGTGGAGCCGTTATCTAGGCTTGAATGGCAACAGTCTCTTTAAAGTTCTCTGTCCTGGACTGTTCATACTGGAGTCTTGTCCAGCTGCCTCGGGCTAAAGTTTGGCTGATAAGCTTCTGCTATTCTTAAAACGGATTACTTTGTAAACAAGTTAATATCTATGAAATATGTTCATTCAAACATTATTTTCTTAATTAGGATATTTTTCCTGTTCATGAAATAAAATTGTTAAAACATTTAATAAAAAACTAATCATTAAAAAAAATAAAATAAACAGATACATTGAAAAACGAAGCGTAACAGTTAGTGTTAGTGATCGCACATTTGACTACCTTCTCCAGCGTCATTTTTTTTTATCTCGCTCATTGTTCGTGCTAATCAGGCCATGTGAGACAACTGTATTGGTAAATTATAAAAAAAGCTTCGTTGTTTATAATTTGTCATCTATTTCATTTTTCTTTTTTCTCACTGTATTTATTATCCATTTCACGTGAGTGAATGTGTGCTATATAGTAAAAATATTATAAGTAATAACATAGCTAATGTATCAAAAGCAAAAAGAAACGATGTGAAGGACTCTTAATAAGAAAGATATTGGAATGAAAGTGGATGAGAGATCTTCTCCAATAATCCCGGCATATCGATGAATGTGGCTGAAGAGATATACTACGCCGATGATATACCGGATCAATTTTCAAAGTAACAAAAAAACTAAAAGTAGAAGATAACTAAGAATAATTTAAATTCTTCATGAAATTATTGATTAAAAAATTTAATAGTAAATTAGAATAATAAAAATAAAAATAAGTTTAAAAAGGAGTAGGAAATAACAAAACATTTTTGGTTTAAAATATCGTTTTATTAATTTTTCATTATTTTTTGTATTACGAATTCAACATGAAACAGTCAGACTAAATGTGATCACTTCCAAAACTTGAGAATTGATGTTCAGATCCGTGGGTGAAAATAGGAACTGGCACTTTCACATACTCAGGTACTTTTACTGGATACGGTACTTTTTTCTCTACAACGTAAGGCACCTTCTTTTCAACAGTGACTGGGTACGGCTTTGGTACCTCGACTGGGTAGGGCTTCTCGACAGGGTACTCGATTTTCACTGGGATTTTCTTTTCAACGATATAAGGTACTTTCTTTTCCACTGTCACAGGTACGTGATATGGCTTGGGGACTTCGAAGTATTCCTTCACTGGCACCGGAACCTCCTTGTGGACTGGGTATGGAACTTTCTTCTCTACGACGACTGGGTAAGGCTTCGTTACGTGGTATGGTACTGGGTTGTCAACCGGAATCTTTACTGGCACCTTTACTTCTTTTACTACTGGGTACGGTTGCGGCACGTGGATATGGACTGGTACTCGTACCTCTTTGGTGACCTCTACTGGATAAGGCTTCGGCACATGATATGGTACTGGGTTTTCTACGTGCACTTTTACAGGATAAGGCACATGTTTGATGACCTCTACGGGGTACGGCTGTTCTTCCTTTTTCGTGATGATGTCAGTTCTGACGTGAAAGTGATGGCTGTGCGTCGGCTCGTGTTCCCAACCGTAGGAGACGGCGATCAAGCCCAAGTATACAATGAGTGAAGTAGTCCTGGCCATGTTACTGAGCTCTGGATGCTGTACTGGCGACTGGAGTAGTTGCCGCAGTTTATATACTAATGTAGTATGAGGATCTTACCCAACCTAATGGTGTAACATTAATTCTCTTTCTGCATTGTTGGTTTTATGAATTATTCTTGATACTATCTGGGTCATATATGTCACAGTAAGCTAGCTAAGAATTCATAGTATTACAAACATCATTAAAAAATTATAATCTTAATATTTGCACAATAATATTTCTTCACGTGACTTAATAACTGTTTCAGCCCATTCATTAATATTTTGTGAAATAATTGACTTATTATTACATTTTATTTGTTTTTATTTTTTCCTTAATGTCATCCTCATTATTTCATTCCCTATTGCTATGATAGATAAATATTATATTAAGTGCATCAATGGTAACATAGTTAGCAAAACAAACAAATATCAAATTATGTTAAGACTTTTTTTTGTGCATACATACTCTGTAAAATTTTTAGTTTAAGATATTTAAAAGTTCTATGTAATATACAATACATTAATTTAACATAATTTTGAAATTTTCGTATCATTATTTCAGGTAAGAATGAAGATACAGTATTGCTGATTCATTACCAGTGAAGTATCGTAAGTAACATTATATTAATATTTTTCGAATTTTCGGTAAATTCTATGTATCACATTATTTTTAAATTTCTTCTACATTTTTTAGAGTAAGGGGCAACGGCCCCTCCCCCATCCTCCACTCCATATGCCTGCGAATATGAATGCATATTATGTTTTAATATGTATCTATGTATTTCTGTACTGAATTTAATAATTTTTTTTCTTAAGTATAGTACAAAATACCTCTTGACGATATTCAAAAAATAAAACATTTTTTTTTTTTATTTTGCTTCGACACGTGCCTCATGTCAGATGTCAATATCACTCGCTGACGATCCCCTCTCTGTTCTGGGACTAGAAGCTTTCCACCATTGGCGCTGTCCTTTTGTTTAGCAGTTGGGAAATCAGGACCCGTCAAAGCATAATTAGCGACTTTTCTGATTATTGTCTGATTATCACTGTTGTGATTACAATAGCATCACTATATTACGGTTTTACTTATAAATTTCTGTTTTATTTTACACCAAATCCAATCCTTCCAGTCAAAAGTCCTTCGAACAATAGTCGATGCTCCTATCTGTGTAACCAACAAAACCCTACATCATGGCCTCAACATCCCATTTGTCCTAGACCTTATCCCAGAAAAATTCTCCAAATTTCACCACAACCTTACCTGTCATCCAAATCATCTTGCAAAATTCCTAGCAAGCACCACCCATCCCTATAAACCTCCAAGAAGATTGAAACGGTAGTAACCCGCGACCTTTTGGAGATTGTTTATATTGGAGTTCTAGCAATGGCCAGATTCTCCATTCAAGACATGAGTGTATGTGGCTAAAGTGCTCTCGATCAATCTCCGCTGGCTTTAGTACCAGTGATGCGGTTGAGAGAGTAGCGCAGGGTTCTCCTGGAGTCCAGCTTTTCTCTCCATAGTTGGAGGGAAAAGTCTTCCTTGGAGTTCCCTCACCTGACTGTAAATAGTATATGCATGTGTTTTTTGCTTAGTTTTAGGTTATTTTATGTTATTAATTGTATATATACATACATTTTGATTATTATTTATTGTTATTTGGTTTCTATTTATTTTATATGTTTTGTACATATATTTTGAATGTTATGTTACCTCCCTATAACTACTTAACCATAGTGACAGATTTTTGTAATACTCAAACAACAAATTTGACAATATCGATTCCATGCTTGTTCATAGCTTAATATTTCCAAAATTATTGATAATAATAATAACTCCTTTCAATATTGATTGTAATTAACCTTCATCAAAGGACATTCGTGCTGCCGACACGCAGGATTGTTATCACTTACACCAATATCTATGATAAGCTGCCGTGCAAGGTCTCTCCATCGATTCCTTCCAAACATCCCCAAATCCTCATAGCCCACGATATTTTCTGTGACCCCGTCATGCTATCGTAGCTTTCGTGTGGAAGTGGAGCTGTCAAGATAACTAAAAACATTTGATGCTAATTCATGAGCAGGCCATTAATAAATATATACTGGTTTTCCCGTAAGTAAAGTTTTATTTTAAGTAGGAAGAAATATCTAAAATGATGTTTAATTTAAGTAATTAAAAATAGCTTTGTAGTGAATTATAAAAATCTAATTTAAACGGAAGTTGAGTTTGTGGTTTTTTATAACAATGTATATTTTTGATAGGGGACTTATAAGCGGCTATTCTGCGCTAAGTTCCGTTTTTCGTAAATCATAAAATAATCTTTTTTTTTTTCTTTTTCACCCTCCAACTGGGACTAAAGATACCCTACGCTGTGAAAAAACTCAAACAAGTACCAGTGTTTTAAGCAAAAATGACAGCGATCATTTATTAAAAAGCTTTAATATATTTTTGCTTCCTCACTAACGAAGGTAAAAGGAAACATTGTAATTGTGCGAGAAGTTAAAAAAAAAATTGTACTCAGAATCGAAAATTTTCAGTCGAGTTTTACGTTTCAGACATCGATAATCAAATTTGGTTGGGTGTCTGTCTGTAATCAAATCGATGTAACGGTCATATCATCTAGTACCGTTTATCCGATTTTCTTCAATATCCGATTTTCTTTATCAATCTTATTAAATTCTAACCAGCACTTCCGCTTCCGCACGCGCAAACGCATTTTTATAGATATGCAAATATTTCAGAAAGGCTGGTTCAATTAGGCTCAAAGCTGGATAAAAGGTAGGTATTTGTGAAAAAAATAATGTTGGTCCAATTTGATCGAATTCCGTCTATTTCTTTCTCTTATATATGCGCAAACGTGTTTTCCTTGATATGTCTAATCTCAAAATCGCAAGTTTGATTTGGATCAAACTTGGAGAGAATTCAGGAACTTAAAATTAAATAGGCATCAATTTTATTAAATTCTATGTAATGCTCCAAAAAAAAAAAAAAAAACTTCCGCTTTCAGATCAGGAAATTTGTTATTTGATATGCCTATAGTTTGAAAACGGGCCCATTCGATTTGCCCTTAACTTGGAAGAAGCTTGGGGAACAGTATAGAAATTACTTAGTATCAATTTCATTGAATTCCATTTAATAATTGAAATTAATATAAATCATTGTTAACAATGTAGTGGCTGTGAAATGTGTAAGGCGCTGATCATATGGAGTGGCAGTTAAGTTATAATATTGTTATAATAACTTATACTTATAAGATTTTAAGTTTTATTTAAAAAGTTAATTTATTCTGTATTACTTGGTCGATTCTAAACGTTATTGACATGAAACTTATTGCCGTTACGTAGCTTTCGTGTAATTTTCAGTAAATTTAAAATAATTTTACTCTGAGCTTGTCAAAAAAAAAAAGTCTTATTTGTGATTGTGTTTATTTCCATTGAAGTTCAAGCAGCACGTCGTGGTCTCAATTTTCTCCTTGAATACCAAAATTGTGTCAACTTTACTCATAGTTTTATGTTCTAACTTAATTAGTTTTGTTCTGACTGAAGAAAACTCCGAACAAACAAAAAGTCGAATTTTTCCTATGGATTTTTATTCCTTCCATTTTACGAGTGAAAACATACCTATTAAGTATATATCACTACTGTAAGTGCAAAAGTCGTATGTAAAAGTTTATAATTTTTATTCTATTTTTGACATTATGGAGTCTGCAATTGATTTAACTAGTCTACTACTATAGCAGAGGGCAATACAAAATTATACTAATACATCAAAAAGAAATATTTTATAAGCTCTCCTGTAAAACACTCAATTTTTATATACATCATTTGCATTAACAGTAGCGAGATTCAGTATGCAGATTCAGTAGAGATATTCACTATGCACTGGAATTTTTTTTTTTTATTTACAAATTATCAAATATGCAATCAGCAAATGCATAACTTTTTCTCATTCTAGTATTTGCTGATATAAAAAACTCGAGGATATCAAGCTCGTATATGTTGAGGGATTAATGAATTTCCGAAAACGGCTTCTTCTAGAGATTTTATTCTCATAAGAAAATGTTTATACCTTTTAATAAAGATATTTTTTAGCAAATGTAAACGGTTAGGAAAGCTATACTACTACCTTGCTTGGCAGGCTTTTTTTGTTATGTGGCCTGGTATGTTTAATAATTACTTCTTTCTTTTTTTATCGTTTATTGAGTAATATAGCATTCTGTCACTTGGACATTAGTTAAAGAGAGGTAAGATAACATTCATACATTATGTTCAAACAAAATATAAAATAAACAAAAGTAAAATTACTAAATAATAATAAAAAAATATATACAATAAATAAAATTATGTAACTTAAAGATAAGTAAATTAAAAAAAAAAAAACTACAAAACACATACATACCTATATACACTATAAGTATGACATTAATAATCACAAAAATACACTTTTTTTTTTTCTTTAAAAATGTACAGAAAATGCTTTTAAAAAAATCATCATCCTATTTTTATTACGTACATTAGTTTTTACGTTGATATCGGTAATGAGAATTGATCCTAATTGTATTGTGTTACAAATTAAATGTTCCTAATTCTTATATTTAAATTTTCATTAGAATAATGCAAGCAATCTGTGGTTTCAATTTTTTTTTTTTTTGGATTTTAATTCATGGTAACGAACTATTACATTATATTCGTATTGACGACTACGAAGCATTTTGAAAATTCAAGGAAACATTATTTATTGCTTAAGCATTAGTTTTTATTATTTTATTTATAAATAAAAAGTTTATTTTTGGATTAATTTATTACAATACATCCCAGGTAAAAAAAAGAGAAGGAAGAAATTAAATATTTTTAACAAAACTATTGCGTTTATTATTTCTAACTCAGGTAGGTACTTTTGAATGACAGAATATTAGTCCGTGGTGCAGACAGACCCCTTTTTATCAATTTATTAACATCCGGCTAAAACTTCGTGAATAGTTTATCTCATCGTTAGCTACAAATATTTTATTTATGAAATATTTCGGAATTGGGGCGTTTTAAATCTACAGGTCGGCCAAAATCTATTTAATTAGGTACTAAAAACTCTTAAATACCCATTTGTTTTCCACTTTAATCGTAAGATAACTTGTAAGAGCACAAAGTCGAGAAAAAAGGTAGCCTTTCAAAATCATTGAGCCATTTGGCGTGACCTACACCTCCGAATTTTCAAAATAACGAGGTTATATAGGCCAGACGGCTCAATATTTTTGATGGCCACCATTTTTCTCGACTTTATGCTCAAGATATCTTATGATCCAAGTGGAAAGCAAATGGGTATGTAGAAGTTTTTAATATCTAATTAAATAGACAAGGTTTGATGAAAACCAATTTAAATTCCGAGAATTTTCGTAAATAAAATATTTGTAGGTTACGATGAGAAGGAACTATTTACGTAGTTCCAGCCGGGTGTTATAAATTCGATAAAAAGGGGTCTGTACCACGGACTGTATCCAATCATATATATTTAACATTACTAGAGGTGAATCTCATTATCATATGAACTTATTCCATAATAAACCTACTCTTAAAGTTTATTTAACAAGAAAGTTTTTCTAAAGATGGGGTAACTGTAGCCGTGTTGTAGTGTGATAAAAAAAATCACGAATATTCAATGATTTTCTGAAAAACAAAATTCAGGATTTTCATGAGCGTAAAAGTCCCTTTTAGGTTGGTTTTAACAAAGACAAATCTCTACTTTCATTTACAATATTTTTTTTTTGTTTACTATACAGCGATTTTTAATTCCTTGCATTAAATATGTTTTAGGACTCGCTTCTTTATCAACTATCCTTCGTGGTATACTTAAAAAAATAACACAAAATCTAAATTTCTTTGTTTTCTTGCGAAAAATCGGTCTATTTTAAATAAACTTTTTGAGGTCTACTGTAACCTTTTGTATTCCCCTTTGCTTGCGATGCACTCTGTATATTCGTATTTTATTTAGTTGTGTTAGAGAGAATGAAGCCCTATTGGCTGCCATAATCCGACAGTGAATTTCCGGTTGCGTATTATTGATAGAGTTCAACTTAGGTTTCCGGATAAATAAACTCCTTTATATAGTCGAAGTTGAAGTCTCCGATTTCAGCATTTCCTTCTAAATACTCTTCTCCTTATGAGACTCATAAGGATTGTTTTACTAATCAGTAGCAAAATCAATTAATTGTTTTACTTTTTTCTTCCCTAAAATCTGATTAATAAACAATAAAATATACGATTTTTCAAATTCACTGCAAATCTTGCTTGTAGTTTGGACAAGGTAGCTTAAAAGTTCAAAAATATCAAAATCTAAATCAAAGTATTTAATTCGATTATAAAATTATGTACGTACATAAACATTTGGTGGTTAATATCTTTTATTTTTTCGACTGTATTCATTCTTATCAATGTATCGCGCTCCATCAGATATGCACATATTGGGATTAATATAAATACACTAAAATTCACTTTCATGTTATGAGCATTTCAATATAATGAAAAATCCATGAGATTAGTGGCTAGGATTCATGAGCGCATCCTGGGTATGGCTTCCCTGCCTACGTAACTTTAACCTACAAAACCAATTGTTATAGTTGAAACATTATTAGCATAAATAGCACAGTTCGATAAACTTTTGCGGTTTATTATGAGGATAACTGTCAATAAATAGTATATCGAGACAAGGCATTTAAAGAATTATCGTAATTTGTATTATCAAGTAAAAGTGGTAAATTTTATACCATTTCATGAATCACATAATTTAAAATATAGGTCAAATGAATTAAAAACTCCAGTACGTATTAAGTACATTTTTGTACAATTTTAATTTTTTTTTTTCCGTTTTATTCAACACCGATGAATAAGTTAAGGATCGTGGATTTTTTCTTGTGTACACTAAATTTATTTACTGTCTTCCTATGTAATTTTTCATAGAAATATTGCTTCCTCAC